AATGTTACGTATGGCTGTAGCATGCTGCTATGGTTGCAGGGAGAACCACCATACACTTCTTAAACACACCTTATATCCTCTCTGATGAAAAACCACGGTTGCCCAGCTTTTCTGCTGGCATGGTCTATATTAGAAGCATTCAAGGTCTTGTTGAACAGGGCTTTGGACAACCTAGTCTAGTGAGAGACGTCCTTGCCCATGGCAGGGGGGCTGGAGTAGATCTTTAAAGGTCCCTTTCAAAAAATATCATTCTGTGATTCTATGGAATCTCACTCTGGATGACCAGGAGCAGCAGTTCCCAATGTAGAAATGTGTCAATTGTTTCCTAACACTGGCTGGATTATTCCTGCAGTTGTACCCTCATGCATTATAAAGCATTGTCTGTCCCTGCTTTATTCTGGTGCTGAACACACTGTTCTTTCATTTCTAATCAAGAAAAGGTGAGGAAGCAGAATGAAACAATATTAAGAAACACATAGCAGGGCAGGAGCAAGGGCATAAACTGATACTAATATTTTTTAAACGGGTAACTCAAAATGTAGGAAAAGATGATGTAAAAAATCCCCCAATATTATAGAGGGAAAAGAGATAAGAAAGCTCCCTACTTTTTCTTGAAACAAATGTGTGTTACAAATCCAAATATAAATATAACAGATGCCAAAATCCTTGCTCTCAGGCTTTTGCCACTCTAAATCAAATGCTGGTATGCATCTTCGGGGATTTAAATATATCTGTTATTTCTGACTCACCTAGTAATTTATTTTTTTATTTTTTTTTATGAGGAATGAGCTTTTTCAAAGAAAGTTTGTTCAAAAAAGGACTTGGAAACAGATCTTTAAATAACAGCAGAAATATAAAATTTCATTTCTAAAAGCTGTTACAAAACCTGGGAAAACAAGTTTGGTTGTTGGTTTTTTTATTTAATAAAATGTTGATAAAATTGGGCCTTAAGGCTGAAATCCTTACAAAAGATGCAGATTCATAACAAAGAATGAGTATTTGCCATCTTTACCCATGTTAGATTGTACCTATTTTTTTTCTTTTCAAATAGTTCTACAGAGACAATGGACTTGGACAGAAAGATTATTTTGGTCCCAACAAACTTCCCCAGAAGCAGAAATGTTTTGTCATCTCTAGATGTTTTCAGAAGAATCTCAAAAGAGCTGATAGATTGCTACTAGCCCAGATTTCAAAACTTACAAAAAAGGAGAAGGGAGGTTCATGGAGAACAATATGAATAAGAAAAATATTTGAAATGGAAAGCTGCAGAACTGCATGTCAACCAAACTGATGAAGTAACTGCAATTATTGATAATGAGAGGGGACATGCTGTGCTGAAGATGCTACTTCACCGGCCACAGATTCTATCACTCATGTTAATTTAGAAAACATGTTTCATACTGCTGATAATGAATGACCCTTCTATGTATGAAGCTTTGTTAGGATCTCTTTGAAGCTGGCTGAATAGCCTGCGGGACTCGAAAGTTTAGTAAACATTTCTGCTGGTATGGATGGATCACCCAGGAGTCTGTTCAAGGGTTCTCCCTAACTTCCAAAGCTTACCCAACAGAGGCCTCTACTCAAGATAGAGTTGCATAGGGAAAACTGTGCTAGTATCAGCTCAGTTGCTTCTGTTATGAAAGGTTATAGTAAAAAATGTGCTTTTGCTAATACGGCTGCATCCCCATAGAAATATCTTCCCATTAAAATATGTCTTTCCCCATTGCTGGTAAAAACTGTAACAGCAGCCTGATTGTCTGTAATCACGTATCAATGCAAAACTGGAATAAGATGATAAAGAATCAGCTCCTGTATTTTTACCAAAATGCTAGTTTAAAGCATCCTAAGATAGTCCTTCATTGTAATAATATAAAATATGTGTTTTCCTTCTACAACACTGCAAATCCCAGGGAAAGCTTCTATTTTCACCCTCTTCTTTCATTTTTTCCACCCAGAAACATGCTGGTGACCCAATGTTTTTGCTCTGTCAATTCTGCAATAGTGTGCATATTATTTAATTTTAAAGTCTGTGTAAAATTGGAGGTAAGCATGTCATTTTGAAAGACCTTACTGAATAAAAGATGTTATTTGCATACTAAGGTATTCTTACAATTAACAAAGATTAAAGTCACCCTGAGAGTGAATCCTTGCAGTTTTACACAATAAATTTGATGTTTCTGGTTGTGTCCCAAAAGACAAGGAGCACTCTCTTGCCTTCAATGAAAACCTTCCATGTATTTGTGTCCTTTGTTAACTTCCAGCATATGGTGTTTTAAAAGAGATAGCTAAAAACAATGAGCTAAGTAGTGGAGTTTTCCTTCAAGAACTCCACATCTTAAGCATAGCCATGGGGGAAACTGATCTACACTGTTTAAAATCCAACCAGAATAGCTTCTTAAAGGGTTTTAACCATAAAATGCTTTAAGTTAGGGGGGGAAAAAAAAAAAAGAAAAGAAAAGGCAGCTGCAAGATGTTAACTTGGTTTCTAACTGAAACAATGGTTTGTTTTATTTCATGTTGGGATTTCAACAGACTCTTAATTAGACTTTTTACCATGCAGTTTTCATTTTAAAATATCTTGATGACATTCTGGTGATCAAGAAGATCCTGGGAGACTTGACACCTGTTACTCCTTGGAAGAACATTCATCTAAAAAGGCAGGCAAGCAAATAACACTCCCCAGCTCACAGAATAAGTATTAAGTCAAAATATCCAGATATTTAAAAGAATAATGAAGGGGGGAAAAAGTCTGGAAAATACTCTGTGCGGTCCAGACTTAGTGATGATAAGCAGACAGCAGTGCTCAAAACAAAAGCCAAAAAACACATGGGTTGCCTGCTATGTTGTGGAATACCAATAGAATATTTACAATGTGAAAATGTAGCTGGTAAAGTCAATACTATGTCATTTCCTAAGGACATGAAAAAATTATACTTACCTTTTTTATGAAAAGCAGCATAGATAATTATTAAAAACAGCATTTGCAATAAACTTTTCTATACAGAAAGAAAATCAGTACAAGAACAGATGTTATCATGCAGATTGAAACATGCAGTAAGAATACATCACTCCTTTTTTTCAAAACATCGAATAAGGAATTCTCATAAACAGCACTGTTACGATTCATCTTGATGCTAAACTTCTTAAAGAGGTATAAAATTAGTAAATAGTATTAAAAACTGGTTTGAATTAAAGAAAGAATTCCATGCTATACTCAAGACATGACCTTTAGACTGAACTGCAGATAACAAGAATAGAATAGAACAGAACAGTTAGACAGGTCTACAATGATCATCTAGTCTGAACTCTTGAGGCCTGACCATGTTAAAGTAATTTATTAAGGGCATTGTCCAAATGCTTCTTAAAGGGCAGCATTGACCAACTCTCTAGGAAGCCTGTTACAGTGTTAGACCATGTTCTTGGTAAAGAAACAGTTCTTAATTTCAAGAACCTCCCCTGATGCAGCTTTGAACCACTCCCATGTGTCCTGTCAATGGATACTAGGGCAAGGAGCTCAGTACTTTCTTCATTTCCTTTTCTCACACTCATCAAAATAAGCTGCGTTTGACTCCTGGGTTTTATTGAATCATAGAATTGTTTTGGTTGGAAAATACCTTTAAGATAATCAAGTCCATACAACTGCCAAGTCTATCACTAAACCATGTCCCTAGGCACCATTTCTACATGTCTTTTAAGTACCTCCAGGGATGGTGAATCCACCACTTCCCTGGGCAGCCTGTTCCTGGGCCTGACACCCCTTTCAGTGAAGAAATTTTCCCCAATATCCACTCTAAACCTCCTCTGGCACAACTTGAGTTGGTTTCCTCTTGTTCTGTCACTTGTTACTCGGGAGAAGAGACCAACACCTACCTCACTAACACCTCCTTTCAGGTATTTGTAGAGAGCAATAAGATCTCCCCTCAGCCTCCTTTTCTCCAGGTTACACAACCCCAACAGCATGACATGGACACCATTTATTTCCATTGCTGATTTTTAAATAAAAATAACAAATGGATCTCATCAACAGAGCTTGAACTGCACAGGTAAATTAGTAAGGAGAAGCTATATTGATATTCTGCAGTAACCTATTCTTCTGCCTTTTGGGAAAAAAGAAAGGCCCAAAATTCTCTTATTAAGAGACAAATACTGTTCACTGTGCTATGCATACAACCATTGACTATAATCTGTTCTAAGTTATCTCCATCTTACTTGTGAAGAAGGTTCGTGAAGGCACATTTTGGGAATCTTCTATGGATCTAAGTGAGGGGGACAAACTTTTATTGCCCCAGCAGTTTTCTGTCAGATTTTAGCTGAAGTTTACTGTCCCAAAAGTGGAATTCACATATGAACGCTCCTAGGCTGTCTCAGTACAAAGTCAGTGGAGTCAGCTTAAAGAATCTTAAACCAAATTTGGATGACTTTACACTTATGTGAACAACTTAAGACACTTTCAGCTTCACAGCTGTGTCAACAGAAACTGCAAGAAATAACTTCTCAACTTCTATAACTAGATGTGAAAGAAATGACCTGTATATGCCTTCAGTCCCTCTTGGAGTGAGAAAAACTGAAAAAGATGTTAGACAGACCGTACCAACATGGCTAGAAGCTCAGTCTCAGGACAAATCAATGTGTATTTATGGGAATACAAATCAGACTCATCAGAAAGAAAAAAACAAACAAACAACACCCTAAAAATCAGGAGAGATTAGATGTCTCTGTACTTGTTCTGACCACCCTGAAAAGAAAGCAAGCCCATACCAAGCCTCCAAACTCAAGAATTCTGCATTATTTTTCTCACCACCTATAAAATCAGATGTTATTTAAGCCAAATCTCTGGCAAAGTTCACAGACCCTGTGTTCATTATGGTATGGACTATTGTAGAAATACTGTGGCAAAAACTGTCACAGAAAAGACAACCTGCCCAACAATCAGATTCAGCCCTGGGAGAGAGCTTATTGTCCTATTGTATCCTATTGTATCTGAAATGTTTTGCTCTTACCTAGAGCTGCTCTCTGAATCCGCCTCTGGGTTATTTCTCCTTTCAGATGGTCTGTAAAAGACACAACATGCAAATAGTAAGAATTCAAAATATGAAAAATCAATGAAGTCATTGTTTATTTCCCAACGTTTGGACTCCCTGTGCTGCTGGCCAATTTAAGGGGATTTTTGTAACCCCCAGGATAAGTAGTGTTCTGAGCTATCTCCTCACTACTGTAAGTAAACAAGTAGGCACAATTTGCCTCTACATATCCTCAGATTTAACTTTGTCCAGTAAGAAGGACTGAAAATAAAGCCATTTACTGTCAAGCACTTTCACAGGCTAATGATCCCCTGCTGCTACAGACAAAGGACGTCCAAGTGAGGCTAGAAGACATACAGAATTTCAAGTACTTGTTCAAACACACTTACAGGCACTAGCAGTGGAAATGAGATATTAGGACATCCAGTCCTAATTTGTTCCCTACAGTCCATTTTTTTCCCTATTTGTCCAGCTCAGTTTTAAATACCCCATGTGCTAGAGCTTCTGCAAGTTCTATTAGTCAACAGAACTCACAGTGTAGATGTCACTGGTGTTCAATTGAAATTTTTATTTCATTTCATTATCTCATTCTTCCTAGTTAAGCTCCCATGCTCCATATAATTCACCTTTACCCTTTCCTTAATTTTCTCCATGATCTATGACACTGTTCCAGTTCACCAATTATTTCAAACCATAATTAGATTACCACATGGGAAGCCATTATTCATACATTTTAATGAAACCAATAAAGGAAAAACATAACCCTAAATGATGCAATTTCAGCAGTATATGTGTTCTAAGGGAGGCTGGGATTATATCTTTCAAGTTTTCAAATTCAAACAACTTCTAAGCAGAGAACTGTTCATAATCTTTACTAAGCTATACATCTGGATACCAGGAAAAGGAAAAAAAACAACAAAGTAACAAACCATGCTGGATTAACTTTTTTTTTTTTTCCCAAAAGCTGTGATTATGTATATTATATTAGCACACATTCTGAATTAAAAATAACCTTTTGCTTAAAAGTGAAGACTTACAGAGTAAGCTACTCAGAGCAAATTAAGTAATTAAAAGCTGTCAAATGCTTAACTGGAAAATGTGAAAAACTTTTAAAATTCATAGGTCATGAGAATTAGACTGTTCCATGAGCATTAAAGAACCATGGAAAATTAAACTTCTTTGAGAATTACGATAACAATTATTAAGTATTTTTTAGCATTTTAGAATAGGCTTTATATGCAGTATGTTGCAGTGTAACAGCCAGGTTATGTTGTTTTGAGTGGTTTTAGAAAACAAAACAAAACAAAAAACACTACCTACTCTTTGTCCATAAAAATAAATAAATAAATAAATTGCATATTCTTATTTTTCTGCATGGGAATTTTTAATTTTTTTTATTATTTCTATTTAGACCAATGAATTATTCTGTACTTACAGTTATCTGGAAAACCAAGAAAAGCCTTCAGCTACTGAGAAACAGGTGAACTGAAAGAACTAACCACACCTGTCCCATTTATACCAAATAAATCCTCCATCTCAGCTGTGCTAACACTCAACTAAAAACCCATTCAAGTAAGTAAGATTCTGATTTCTGTAACTATAGACAAAAAATCCTTGATTAATACTTTTTACCAATAGAAGTCCAGTTAAATAGTCAGTATCCATGCTATTTTTGCTTTGAAAGCTTTATATAGCAACTCATTCAGCTGTTTTCAACACTGTGAAATGTGATTAAATGTACCAGTTTTTACCTCAGATTGCTTTTTCCTATTCTGGATATTTGTGTCCTTCCTTGTATTCTATTGCATTGCAAAGGGTGATGTTACTCCTTCAATACTGAGCCATGTGACAGTTGTGAAACAATTTGTAGCAATCTTGAGATTCATCTCAATGGATTATCATTAACTTAGGTGCTTCAGAAAGCCATCTTATCTATACAAATATCTTCATGTAGAGACTCGGAGGCTCCCTCTCTTAAGCACTGACAGCTGCAAAAGGCAACGCCTCTACCATTTGAAAAATGGTTCTAGAAGTGAGAATATGTTGTTCATCAAGAATCAACTGAAAAAAAAAGGTGACATCCGAGTTCTCTATCCTGTCAATATCTGGTTTTAGTAGCATTATTTCCCTTTCCTTAGCTTTGCTAGAAACAGATAAGGATTAATCAAAATGATTTACATAGATTTCTATTAATTGCTGATGAGGTTAACCTAAAAACAGTAAGCCAAACAAGTCAATGAAAACAAGATGGAAAAGACAGGTAACAGCTTTCAGTCAACAGAATTACATGAAAATAGAAGAATATGGGGACTGCTTTTTTAATTATTATAGCCAAGAGACTTGACTTCCAGTTAGCTAGAATTTTCTTAGAACAGCTGGGACAGAGAGCACAGAGGCTGCAGAAATGCTACTTTTATTGTAGCCTTTGTTAGGCCAGCCAGCAGTGTGGAACTATCCCAAATGCTCCCCTTTCTCTTTGTTCTAGCCTTCATACACTTCTGCTCCATCCATGACATGCACCACGATGATACAAGAAATCTTGTCCTTACTCTATTCTGGCAGCTTAATAAGAGAGTAAGAAGCAATCACCTGTAATTAGAAGGGAACCAAAGAAAACTTCTCCTTCAGCTAGAAAAATAAAAATTCAGTCTTACCATTCATATAGCAAAATACTTCTGCCATGAATAGAAAGAGAAAGGTGACGTTTATCCAATTCACAGAGTCCAAACTGCCTTTTCAGGGCAGAAAAAACTGAACTTCATTTTGCAGAAAACTTCCTGAAGATAAATTGTATTTGCATTACGGGAAAAGTAGCCTGAACAGGAATTCTGATTCAGAGGGCATGGAGGTGTCATGAGGCACCTGACTATAATTCCATACCAAAACTTAGCCAGATATGATTTAATCTTTCAATTTGTTTTAATCCAATTTGAAATTTGACAGTTTATTTAGATTTTCTTTGGGAAAAAAAAAGTTTTCATATAGAAACTCTTATTTTTTACAAAATTGTAACATTTTTGGTACATGTTTTTGATTAAAGTAATCTTGTTCTGTTTTCACTACAAATACTTGTGGAAGAGAACGAACATTTCTGACCTGCTCTACTTTTCTGCCTCTGAGAACACCATCGTCCCAATGCCTGACTTGAAGTTCATAAGTGACAGAAGTAGGGGATGATTCCAGTACTGTTGCCTGCACAGACCTTCCCATATAAACAAATTGAAGATTTCAGTCTTTAGTACTGCCAGTTCTACAGCCTTCATAAACACAAATATTTACTCAAAGAAATATGAAGAATCACATTCTCATAAAAAATCCCCATGTCTTCTGATTCCAACAGTGTAAAGTTGTAGACAAGGTAGTACTTAAATGTGGTTTACAAAAATTGAATTTAGGACTTGGCAAACATCTCTCAACATATGGATAATTATGTTTTCTGAAGTTTCACCAAACAAGAAGCTAAATATAGGTCTGCAGCTGATACCAAATAATTTTTTCCAGTGGAGTCATTCTTCATTTGGAGATAACAGTCCCAATAAAATGTTGAATACTGCAACTCCACATGTTTTGGCAAAAAAAGTAGTTTTGGGGAATTTAAGAATTCACTCAGCATGCAGCCAGCTGTCATTAAGGCTGTGATAGATCTGTTGGTTTTGGCCTGTGTTTCTGGACACATGTACCATCCTGAGGTATGGAAAAGTGATGAACTGGTAACACAGAACTTCAGCTTTGTGACAGGAGAAAAAAGCCATGAGGAAAAGGGAGAAGATAAAATGGAACAGAGAAGTCCAGTTAAGACTGATTTAAAGGAGAGGAATGTATCCTATATGCTGACTAAATATGATAGAATCCGTATTTGAATAATATGTCTGTCCTTTAACATTCTGCTTTGTGCTTTTCCAGATTGTTTTAAGGAGCTGAAATTACTTTCCAATTTATTAAAATGAACGCTTTGAAAATACTGCTTATTCTTCAAGGCAATACAAAAGTAGTATCATAGAAGCATAGAATCATTAAGGTTGTAAAAGACCTTCAAGATCAAGTCCAACCATCTGCCATACCCACCATGAGCACTAAACCATTTCCTGAAGCACCATGCCTTCCCATTTTTTGAAGTCCTCCCAGGACGGTGCCTCCACTACCTCCCTGGGCAGCCTGTTCCAATGCCCCACCTCTCTTTCTGTGAAGAAATTTTTCCAAATATCCAATCTGAACATCCCCTGGAGCAACTTGTCCCCGTTTCCTCTTGTGCTATCGCTAGTCACTGGGGAGAAGAGGCCAACACCTGCCTCACTACAACTTCCTCTCAGGTAGTTGTAGAGAGCAATGAGGACTCCACTCAGTCTCCTCCTCTCCAGGCTGAACAGCCCCAGCTTCCTCAGACTCTCCCTATAAGACTTGTTCTCTAGACCCCTAAGTCACCCTACTTGCCCTTCTCTGCATCCTCTCCAGCACCTCAATGGCCTTTGTATACTGCAGTGCCCAAAACTGCACACAGTGCTCGAGGTACAAGGACAGGATCACCTCCCTGGTCCTGCTGGTCACACTATTCCTGGTGCAGGCCAAGATGACATTGGCCTTCTTGGCCACCTGAGCACACTGGTGACTCATACTCAGCTGGTTGTCAATCAACACCCCCATGTCCCTCTCTGCTGAGCAGCTCCTCCCCAAGACTGTAGTGCTGCTGGGGGTTGTTGTTGTGGCCAAAGTGCAGGACCCAACATCTAGCAATGTTCCAATGAAAAAAAAAACAAATCCTGATTTTAAAAAGTGTTTTGGTTTTGGTTCACATTACAGGTTTTAAAGCTCCTTGTATGTTTTATCAGACCTTCCATATAATACTATTATAAGGTTTCAAAGACTGCTAACTTAACAGATAAAAATACTGGACAGACTAAGAGTACACATAAAACCTTAACTTCCTCCCTTTGAGAATATTTGTTGTTATTCATGTGGATAGACCTTTAACTCGATGCAGGGTCTTTTCTAATAATGAACAGGCTGGAGCCTTTGCCAATAACCGCTCATCT